CCACAAGTCTTTTTTTTATGTAATAACTGAGATATCTGATGTGTTGCAAAACTCAACACTTTTGACTTTACATCAAAAAGAGGATATCATTACTTGCATTAAAAAGCGTGAAGACTTTGTTGTAAGATCGATACACTTTGCAGCAAATTTACTTGATCCAAGATTTGTTGGTCAAAAGTTAAATCATACAGAAATGCTTTTAGCTGAGCAGCATGTATTCAGAACAGCTGAAAATGAAACACTAGCCACTGATATAATATTGGATGAATTAATGAGTTTCAAAGCTCGTAGTGGAATATTTAGCCATGATAATCGCAGCTATATTTGGAAGCTTAATGAAGATTGTAATCCAGTCACATGGTGGAAAGCATATGCACCAACAACATTATTGAATAGAATTGCATTAATATTATTGTCTTGTAACTGCAGCATTGCATCTGTTGAGCGTGCAAACAAAGAGTTTTCATTGCAAAAATCTAAAGTAAGAAATCGCCTAACCGATACAAGAGCATCAAAGCTTTTATTTATTGCTTATAATTTGAAAATGCAGAATAAATTGGCTAAACGTAATTCTAAAAAGATAAAACATTCATATTTAAAAACAAAAAACATTGATGAAAAAAGCCAAAAAAATCACAGCTGCTTATCAATCGATAATGATGATGATGATGATGATGATGATGATTATGATGATAACGAATACGATAGTGAGTATTCAAGTGAAGATAGTATTGACTTTCACATACCATGAAAATGGCTTAGCATTAACGTTTGCAAAAACATGCTATTTTTTTATAATAGTCTAGTTTGAGAGTTTAAATAAAATATATATATATAATTATTTTTTTATTTTTATTTATTAGTTAAAAACCCACTATACAAGTAAGCTAAATTAAAGTTTAGTTCAGGATAAATGAAAAAAATTAAAGTTTTTTTTTTTTTTAATCAAGATTTTCATTCAAACATGATCATCTAGGAATTTTTTTTTTCAAGAATGTCCTTGAAGATTGTTTTTTTGTTCCTTTGAGTTCCAGAACTCAACTGCTCATTTTAGAGTTTGAAGATCTGTTTCAGGAATTACATCTATTAAGTCAATGATTTTTTTTTTTACTTTGCATTATTTTCTCTAGATTTAGTTCATGACTATTGCACAAATCTTTGACACTACCTAAAAAAGGTTCTGAAGCTGTTTTGTTTTTCAGCTGCTACTTTACAATATTAAATGTCATTTTATTGCTCTTCAGGTGAATAAATAAGTTTAGCTTGTTTTGTTGTGTAATTATTGATACATACTCAATAAAAAATAAGGGATGAATAAAATTTATGCAATGTTTTAAAACGTTAAGGAGTGACTTCAATGCGTTTCTTCCAACTATATCAAGCTTTTGCATTAATATTTTTTTATGTTCACAAAGCTTAGACCATAAGGTAGTGGAACAACCAAAGTTTTATATAACTGGACAAAGGAATTTGGGTGAACAAAACGGATTCCAGATTAAATTAAAGTTTGGATTACTGCCCGGATTTTAGGAAAGGTGTCCCATATAAAGCCTAGATGACTTAATTTATCGTGAAGTTTTATTTGTTCGATATTGTGCAGTTTTTAATTTGCTTTTTTCCGGTAAGTATGAACTCGATTTTGTCAGCATTCAATTTTATGCAGTTTTTGTGTATATATTACAGGTATTAATAAGCTTTTGTAAAAAAATTCCAACCCTATTAAAAACTCTTAAAGAAAGATGTATATATATAAAAAAAGATGTTGTGCCTATAGAGGTAGCATGTTTTTAATAAATTTCTTTTTTTATTAGATTTTAAATGACTTAGAAATTTTAAATAAACTTAAAATTTAAATTTTCTCCGAAACGTCTTGTGGTTTTTAGTTTTTATGTATTTAAGCAAAAAAAAAAAAAAATGACAGTTATCTCATCTTTAAGAGATTTGATGCTTAATTCTTTGCAATTTCTTTAATACATAGTAGTAAATTAAAAATTAAAAAAAAAAAAAAATTCAAAATTTCCAGAAAATTTCCGGAAATTTTCCGGAAATTTTCAACCCTAATAGCAAATAATTAGATATAAAGAAAAGTTTCTAGATATTGGTTTACTAACTCTAATTATTTTCGCTTAAGTTGCCATTCTTAAAACTCGTTATACTTTTTTCTGCTTTAAATACTAATTAAAATTAAAATGCCCACTCACTAAACATCATCAACGATATTGTGAAGCAGTTTCGATTACTGGTCATTCATTTTTAACCTTTTTAGTTGATTTCTATCTTGATAATTTAATTCCTATAGTAATTCAATGATTTAATTATTTCATTTGTTTATCTTACTTAGAAGAATCGCTTTAAATATGTTAAACTTTTCAAACTACGCGAAACATAAAATAGGTATTAAAAAAATAAACTTTTTTATTTATAAAATAATTTAGCTTAAGTAAAACTAAAACTTGCAAACTTAGTTAAATAAAGAATATTTGTTTCCCTTTTAAACAATCGTAAGTTGTTACTTTATATAAAAACATCGCCTAATTTTATAAATAAAATTGTAAAAGAGCGTTATTTGTTCTAAATGTAATTTATTTAGCTTTAAGTTTTTTCGCGTTTAAAGATATTTTATTTGCCTATTTTTTTTTTATTTTTTTTTTTGTAATTGTCTCTCATCGGTCCAACGAATCTTTGTCGCTTTTTTTTTTTGCCTTTTTAAAATGTTCTCAAAACGGCTAAAAAATCTGGCCAGCTTTTCGCAACTAAATATTATTTACGTGGTCAGCAATCGAGAGCGATCGCTCCCGCTTCCCGACCAAGCCTGCATTATATCTTTATACCATTATATCTTTGTATCATTATATCTTTATACCATTATATCTTTATACCATTATATCTTTGTATCATATCTTTATACCATTATATCTTTGTATCATTATAACTTTGTATCATTATATCTTTGTATCATTATATCTTTGTATCATTATATCTTTGTATCATTATATCTTTGTATCATTATATCTTTGTATCATTATAACTTTGTATCATTATATCTTTGTATCATTATATCTTTGTATCATTATATCTTTGTATCATTATATCTTTATACCATTATATCTTTGTATCATTATATCTTTGTATCATTATATCTTTGTATCATTATATCTTTGTATCATTATATCTTTGTATCATTATAACTTTGTATCATTATATCTTTGTATCATTATATCTTTGTATCATTATATCTTTATACCATTATATCTTTGTATCATTATAACTTTGTATCATTATATCTTTGTATCATTATATCTTTGTATCATTATATCTTTGTATCATTATATCTTTGTATCATTATATCTTTGTATCATTATAACTTTGTATCATTATATCTTTGTATCATTATATCTTTGTATCATTATATCTTTGTATCATTATATCTTTATACCATTATATCTTTGTATCATTATATCTTTGTATCATTATATCTTTGTATCATTATATCTTTGTATCATTATATCTTTGTATCATTATAACTTTGTATCATTATATCTTTGTATCATTATATCTTTGTATCATTATATCTTTATACCATTATATCTTTGTATCATTATATCTTTGTATCATTATATCTTTGTATCATTATATCTTTGTATAATGGCAATTCTATGGCAACCTGATGATGTAAACTAAATCAAAATATCTTCAAAAATCAAAACAAAAACAAAAAATTATTTGTATCAATGAAAATAATGCCAGAAATCAACAATAAGTTAAAAAACTTTAAAAAATGTTTACTGGTCTTAATTTTTTGACCACTACTGTATATGATTATATCTTTGAATCATTGTACCTTTGTATCATCATATCTTGTATCATTTTAACTTTATATCATATCTTTGTATCATTTATCTATAAATTACTTATTATTAAAATAAGTTTTGAAATTAAAATTATTGCAAAGAAATAAACAAAAAAATATTCATTGCAATATATGGAAATGTAATTTATAGACAAAACAGAATGTTCAATTAAAATATAACTACATATATTTTATATATAATTAAATATGTTGTGATTGGATAAAAATATAAAACACCATAGTGTTCATATTTTTGCTTTAATGAAAAAACTTTAAGTTATTTTAAAATATATTTACTATGCATAATAAATATTGACTTGCAGTTTAGCTTTCCTCTTATAATTAAAATGTAATAGTAAATGCAATAAAATAAACTATTTTAAATAATAAATAAGAATAACAATTGTGAAAAATAACAAAATAAACAGACTGTTAATTTCAAGATGAAAAAAGTAAGAGAACTACAGACAATTTAAAAAGAAAATTTATTGCTTTTAATTTGTTACTTTTATAAACTTTTAAACAAAATAATGACCTTGCTACACTATGACTCAGCATTTTATTGTTTTTTAATTAAATAAAATATTTGCTTTTAATGAACTTTATTTATAATACTTTGTTGTGGTTTTTTGCTACTTTTGTTTGGGATAATTATTTAACTTTGATAAAACAAATAATAAAAACAATTTTTTTGCATGCTGACACTTTTAGAGATTCAGGTTAGACAAAAAACTATTGAACCTAAGCATAACTGTGTTAAAATGTGTAATTCCTAATGCTTATTTAAACTTATCTGTGTTTGTCAATTACTAAAGAGGGTTTGAATGTTTAATAATATAAAAATGTATTTAGTGTGTGTTAACATTCGGCAGTTAATGTTAACACTCATAAAAAAATTTAATTTGATTAGGGTCCATATAAAAATATTGAACCATATCTAAAATTAAGCTCAGACCATACATGGTTGCTTTCAAGTATACTGCTATAAAACTTTTGGATTAAAATATTTGTTTCAAATGTTTAATTTCAGTTAATTGGCCTATTAGAGAAGATTAGACAATGAAGACCTATTAAAGCATCCCTAAATGTTTTTAATAAAAATTTATGTCTATATTTCTAAGTCGTAAAATGTTTAAAATAATTTATTTACCGAAACAGCACCATTAGGGTAATGCCCTTTTACATACTTTCTAAGTGAATCATCTACTGCAGACCTCCACTTTTCAGATCTTTCTTCATGATTGAATGGTTCTAATCCATTAGCTTCCTTAAAATAAATTATTTATTTTAACATAAAAGTATCATAAAAATAACTAAGAAAATTATTTTTAAACAAAAACTTACTTTTCGAAGGTGATCATATTGAAATTTTTGCTTACTCTTAGGATCATAAAATATTGCATCTTCTAGATTTCCATGTTTTGTAATAAGTACCTAAAATAAAATACTATTCAGTAGTATCAATTAAAATGAACTCCAAACCTCAAAATTAAAAAAGCTAAAATAAACCCAAAACCTCAAAATTCAAAAAACTTAAATAAACCCAAAACCTAAAAATTAAGAAGTTTAAAAATATTTAAATCATTCTGAACAGGAGTCACTCAAAGTAGTGTTGTCATGGTACTGAATTTTTAGTATTCTGTAACAATCAAAATAAACAATCAAAAATCTTCTGAGTCTATTACTTCAACTACAAACATAATTAAAAACTTGTAAAATTAATGAAAAACATTACTCAAGTATTCCAAGTCCAGCGCTCAAAATAGTTTTTCAAAGCTTGCCGATCAAATGTAATTTTTTCACAAAAACAGATTATTTTACCTTGAAATTTTCAAAATTTTTCTAAAAATAGCCGATCATTGATCAGCCGTTATTTCAAACGCTGAAGTCTATTACGTTTAACAATTGTTTCTTTATTTATTGACGAATGTTTAAATTAAGAGGTATATCAAATAACAGAGCTGACAACGCAGGGGAGGGGAAGGGGTTAAAAAAGTAGGGGTGCCCCCCCCCTACATTTTTTCTAAAGGCCCTTTTCTTTGGGTTGTTTTTTTTTTCAAGAGAACTTCTAGTGGACTTTTTTTTAAAAATAGATGGTTGTGCACTTCGAAACTCGTACCGTCGGCCATGAATAAGCCAGTTTTATGTTTTCTTAATTCTTTCAATTTTTATTAATATTTATTTAAGTACTTTTTTATTAAATTATAAGGGAGTTTCATTTTCAAATAACTTTTATTCTATTTAATAAGATATACAATAAATAAATATATCAAAGATGCTTATTGAATTTTTTAAAGTTTTTTATTAATTCAAAACAATTTTTCACGCATTTGCAAAGTGCGCACAAATTAATGATAACTAATATTTTCTCAATTTAGTTTGTTAAATTTATTTACTTATAAAAAAACTTCAAATAGAAGAAATTCAAAAAGAAGAAATTCAAATAAAAGAGAACTAAAATAAAATAAAAGTTGTTTTGACATTTCTTTTTTAAAAACATTTAAAAATAATATAATAAGTATTTAATAAGTTATTATTAAATACTTATTATGATGCTATTATATTTATAATATGCTATTATATTTATATTTAATAATAAAATATCATATTATTGGTGTAAAAAATGAAAACTATATAAACATAATAATTCTATATATTCTAATAAATTACATTTATTTCTGCAAATCTTAAAATATTTTTTCAAAACTTTCAAAAGAGCAAACATTTCTTTAATTTAACGATAATAAGAAAATTAAAAGCACACTTTTAAAGAAAGCAATGTTTTAGCATGGTTTCTTTAAAAGTAATTGCAAATGCATTTATTTTAACAAAGATTTCCCATGCTTTTGTCAACACATGTAAAAACCATGCTAAAACATAATTACTTTTTTCAGTTGCGTACTTAATTATTAAACTTAAAAGTATTGCTGTTTTTTCTTTCAAAGTCGTTGAACATGCGCTCTCAATTTTAGTAACTTATTGTTTTTTTTTATAATAAATATGTTTGTTTTTTAATAAATAAAACTATCAATTGCATAATTATTTGGAACCAAAAATAAAAAATACTTAAGTTTTGTGTTCCTTATTAAAAATTTTAAGCAAACACCTACATTTGCTTAAGTAAAGTAAGGAAACATGAGGTTCGTTTTTCTGTCTTTTTTTAAACAAATGTTTGCACGTTTGTTGATTTGTCGCGCTCTGTACTTTATATTTAATTCAATTGAGAATGAATTAAAATTTTAGTTAATTCATTATCAATTGTCAATTGTTAAATGCAATAAAAAATAACCAATTTTTGATTTTGTGTGCTTAATAGCATATTTTGTTTTTATATTTTAGCATATCCCAATAGAAAATGCAGCTTGTACTTATATGAAATACATTTTTTTAAATTAAACTATAGCAGTTCCGGCAAGTGATTGTTTTATGATGTAACTTATATAACTTATATAGCTATATAACCTAAATTGTTTAGATGAGTACACTGATGTCACACTGAAATATCCTGCTGCCGGGGACTTTAGTCATACATCGACTACCAAATATCCCGACCTGCAAGGAAGTGCTGCTACATCAACAGAGGATTTGGCATGGGGTAGCAATCTTTTCTTTCATTATTCTTTATTTTTTTTCTTCTTTTTCTAAAAACACAGTATGCTGTAAAGATAAGCAAAACTAGTGAGCAAATGCTTATATAAATACGCTATAGAAGATATATATATATATATATATATATATATATATATATATATATATATATTCATATTGCAATTATAATATTTTATACAATCAGTATCATTTTTTAAATTTCTAAATTTTCTAAAAACAACACAAATATATTTTAACATATTTTAACATTTTTTTTATTTAATCTAGGAATAAAGATTCAAGGAATCTAATTTGACATAAATGAATTTCAACTTGGAAGTTGGTATGCAGATTAATGGTATATAACATTTGTTGAAAGTCACTTTTAACTTATATAGTTATTAAAAAATTGTCTTGTTACCAAAGTACTGATTACTGAGACAACACTAGTTTAGAGTTCTGTTTGTTACAAAAAGTCAAAAAACCACTGTTAGCTTTTTCTGTATTTTAAAAAGTTTTTAACCACCTAGAATGATTTATTATGATTGTATTAGAATTAACAATTATATTAAACAAAATTATATAGTTTATTAACTATAAATTTAATTAAGCTTAAAATTAAATTTAATTTTGATTTACAAAATTATAATAGTATAGTAAACAAATTAATAAAAAATAAAAAAATGTTTGGGAAGCTCCAGAAAATACTTTATACAATAAAAATTTACTTACAGCATCTTCAACACCATCTAACTTGCATGGGGTAAATTGATCTGTATTATATTCTGCAAATGCACTTAAAAAGCAACAAAAAAATTTAAATTATTGAAATACATTAAAATGAAAATTAACAAGTAAAAAAATTACTTCAGTGTTTATTTACTTGTAATAAATAAACTCAAACAAATAAACTTTTTTTAAAAAAAAAAGCCGTTCAACTCATGCATTTTAAAGAAAGAACAATTATCATGACAAAACTTTATAAAATTCACAAAAGTAATATTATATTAACAATTTAATTATTTTTCAAACAATTTTACATAAGTCAGTAGCAAATAAATGTGTAAAAGGGCTTTCAAATTTATAGTTGATACAAATTTTATGACACTAAAATATGCTTTAAATACAAATATAAAATATTTATTTTATGTATTTTTCTTAAATAAATAAAACAAAAGTTTTGATCTGCATTAATATCCATCACTTTTCATAAAGTAACTGATAATTAGTATTAATAGAGAAAATTTTTAATTAAAACTTAAATTTAATATATATATATATATATATATATATATATATATATATATATATATATATATATATATACATACATATATATATATATATATATATTATATATATATATATATATATATATATATATATATATATATATATATATATATATATATATATATATATATATATATATATATATATATATATATATATATATATATATATAGTTTAGTAGTGTTTAAGCCTTGTCACAAAAAAAGTCTGAAAAACTTTTTGTTATGCAAATTTGATAAAAACTTTTTGGCAATGGTTATATAAATGATACAAAATAATTATAATATAAATACAATATAAACTTGAAATTATTCATTAAATTTATATCATTTGGGTGTGTATATATATATATATATATATATATATATATATATATATATATATATATATATATATATATATATATATATATATATATATATATATATATATATATATATAAATTTTGACATGATCCAATCTGCCTGAAAATCATATACAATGTTCTATATATATATATATATATATATATATATATATGAAGAGGTCAAATTCCTAAAATTCAAAATCTCAACAATCAGAAGGAATTTAGTGATTTGCTTTGGGCTCCAACTTTCGACTAATCCAAAATATGATTTTGTTATTTTATGCATGTATGTATGTTTTATAAATTGTTAATGTTTTATTGCAATATTCTTTGTTTTTATTGTTAATGACCTAAATCTTTACTTATTAAATTAATTACCTAAATATTGAATATTTAATAGTTATTTAAAATAGGACAGTTGAAAATCAGATAAAATTTTATTCAAAAACCTATTTATCTTTTTGTAACTAAGGAAAGTATCTAGTTGTTAAGCAATATAGGTATCTATAGCAACTAAATAATAAAAATTATGACTTCTATATAAAGTATGACGCATTGGTACTCATACCAAACTAAGTGAATATAAGACTCATAACAAATCTTCAACTATCAAAATAGTTTGTTGCTATGTAAATTAGGTATCCATAAATATAGGTAACCATAGCAACCAAATGATAAATATTCCCATCATAAGAACCTAATATTAATGCAAACCTAATATTAATGCACAAGCTATTTTTAAAGTATATAGCACACATAAAACATCTGCAACTACCAAAAATAGGTTGTTGCTCAGCAAAATTAGGTATTCATAGCAACCAAATAAAAAAAAAAAAATCACTTTCACAAGAAGCGCAGACCTCATATTAGTAGTCATGCAAAATTTAGCGAATAAAGACCTAATATTTAATTAGTTATTAATTTTGTCCATTAAAAGTGAATTCTGTCCCACTGTGCCATGATATCAAAAAAAAAAAGAAACTGATCGACTTTGTGATAGCGAGCAGAAAAAAAAAGATATGGAACTTCTTACGGCAGTTAGAGATCAGAAACGAGTTATTTTGGGATCAGAAGACCAAGCATACAAAAGAAAACTTACACAAAAAATACAGAGAGAGAATTGAATCGACAAGAAGAATGATAAAAAAAAAAAGAAGACAAAATCTTTCAGCAACAATGAGTACAAAACCTGAACCTTTAAGTCCTGAAGTAGACTTGCAATCTGCAGATGACTCTAGTGTTACATGTAGTTCAGATAATTCTGAAGATGAAGATTTTGAAAACCCACCTGAATCTGCAACGAAAAACATTCAACTTGATAAAAATAGAGTTATTACACTGGCTCTTCCATGCAATCCATTCATAAGTGAAAAAATTTCTGCAATCGTAGATCAGTTAAATTTATCAGCTTGTAAAAGAACAGTTTCCATGGCAGCTCTAATGGTGGTGCTGATTGGAAGTGTGTGACTTTATAAAAAAAAAGCAGAACAGCAGCTAAAAAACTTCAAAGAGAATATAGGGATGAGATTGAAACTACATTTGTTTCCCCAAAAGTATGTTACATTACATTGGGATGGGAATATTGTTTATATACAGGAGTGTACACTCAGACTTTTGGTCGGTTGCCAGAAGAGCGACTGAAAGTAACCAGTTTTGTAATGTTGGTTGCCAGCCAACATTTTGGGTTGCCTGTTGCTATTTTATATAAAAAATTTTGCATTCAACGGAGATTTCGCATAATCTAGTCATTTTTCCTTATAGGGCTAAGTGTAGAAAAGAAATAATTTACTTAAAAAAAGTAATATTGTAAACTATTGATAATATTCACTTTCAGATAAAGTAAATGCCAATATATATGCTATTAGTTTTTTCACTTAAAGAATTTACAAATTCTTTAAAACCCTTTGCTTTTAATTATTAATATCTTATTTGTTACAGGAGCCTGAAAACTCTTGATATTTTGAAAATATTTTAAAGTACCACATTGTAACTTAATTTAATTTTAAACCGCATTAAATATCAATTAAACTAATATAACAAAAGTTATTGGTAGAAAATTCCGTATTTGAAAAAGATTATTTTTCTGTATAAATTTTTACATAAAACAATATTATACTTAACATAATCTTGTTTGTTTATCACATCGAGGATTAGTTATAATTTCACCTCTCTATTTAATGACATTCAAAAATTGTCTAAATGAGAGACTTTTTGGTGGAATATAAGAAAAAGGGTTAAATAGAATGGATTGTGCTTTTATATCATTAATATAAAATAATATAAAATTCCTTTCTTAAGACTCTTTATCAAATTAATTAAAAACAATTTTTTTTTATTTCTTTTTTAATATTAATTCACCTCCTCAAGTTTATGAAGGCCACTAGAGTCAAGAAGGCTACTTTTAATTGTGGTTAAAACCTCTCAACTCTCAAACTCTGAAACACAAACCTTGACAAACAAGACTGCTGCACAAAGAAACAAGTACAGCGCAGTTCTACCAGGGACGTGGTAGGGATGTGGTGGGGTCAGAACTTCTTGCTTGTGAGGCAAGCGCTCTACCATTACCACACAAATGGTAAAAACAATTCAAAAATGGTAGCATTACTATAAAATACATTAAATATTATTCATTTTAAAATATATATATATATATATATTATCTATAAATGTAAATCAATGTTAAACTTTTATAATTTAAATCTTACTAAGCTGCTTCTTCTTTTAAAAGTCGATCATTATTTAGCAAAATTCGCACATCTAAACAAAAAAATGATAAAACCTGATAAACTCAAAAAAAATAAACATTTATTTTTTTTAAATTTGTGTTTAAATCAATTTTAAAAATGTTTAATTATTTAATAATGCAAAACAAACTATGTGATGTATAATATGTGTATAAAGTAAATTTCTGTTAACCAATCATTGGCATTGTTTAGAAGTAACTTATCACCACAGCAATATGAACCAGATGACATAACAAACAAAATTATTTTATTAAAACAAATTTTTAAATAAATTCCAATGCTTTTGAAAATTACCTAAAACAACTTTAAAACAATAGGTCATGTATTATTTTTAAAGTATGAATATTCTTTGTGGGACAAATATTTAACAGTATCAATCTATATATTCATACAATCATATTAAGAAATGTTATTAAGAAACCATAAAATTTTCTCTGCAAAGTGGCTATGTTTAATGAGGTTGGTATTTCAGAGTTTAGGGTTGAAAGAGAGATTTACAAACTAAATTATAATGAGTAGTCTCCGTGACTGCAGTGGCCCTCTTATGAAGTTAATAGTTCAACAATATAAGAAAATAAGTCAGACCATAAAATCAGAGCCTCTAAGTTTGCAACACTGATTATATATATATATATATATATATATATATATATATATATATATATATATATATATATATATATATATATATATATATATATATATATATATATATATATATATATATATATATATATATATATATATATAATGAATTCTTGTAGAAAAAAAATAATCAGAGTTTTGAAAAACAGTGTTTAACAAACAATCAGGATGTAATTTTGAAAATGCATATACTAAAACTTTAGAAAATTTTGAAAATGTATTTAAAATAGTTTTATTGTGAAATGCTACTTTAATTCACTTTGTTGACAAATATTAAATATGAGATAAACAAAATATATTAATTTTTTTGCTTCATTTAATAAGACTTTAATTTTTCTGGTGTTAAAAATCCTTTTTTCATAAATAATTGAATATTTTATTACTATTTTAATAAAAATATTTAATATATTATTTTAATAATAACATAATAGTATATAACAATTGTTGTATTTAGAACATTTACACTTAGTTTTTCACTTTATTTTTCTTTTCTTTAAATCTTATTTTCTTGTAAGTTTTTGCAGCAAATTGCAATAAATGAAATGAATGATTTATAGATAAATTTGAAATTACTATTTGCACTTATTTTTTATGTAAAAGGATTCTTAAAAAATATATATATTTGTAAAAATCTTGTTTTATGTAACATTAGCAATTTTTATAAGTAGTGTTTCATAAAACTTCTTTGTGTTCAATTTAAATAGTCCTCCACAAGATTTAATAACATTATTAACTAATAATAGTTAACAATATTATTTTTAACGTTTTAAAATGATTTCAATGGACAGATATAAAATGTGCAATTATTTTTCTTTAACGTTAACTCTAAAGATTGAATTTTATATTTTGTAATTATTTGTAGTTGTTGCACTTAACTAAGAACATTTTCTCTTCCCACTGTACATTTTTTTTTTTAATTTAATCTTTTTATTTATTTTCCTTGTAGCTTTCCTGCTGTTTTCTTTAACGTTAACTCTAAAGATTGAATTTTATATTTTGTAATTATTTGTAGTTGTTGCACTTAACTAAGAACATTTTCTCTTCTCACTGTACATTTTTTTTTTAATTTAATCTTTTTATTTATTTTCCTTGTAGCTTTCCTGCTGTTTGCAAAATCATTGCAATGAATAAATTTTTTGATTCAATGAATAAATTTCTTTTTAACAATTAAAATTATCAATTCGGCATTTGCACATTTTTTTTCTACTTCTAATCAAGGAATCAGAGAAAACATTTATTTCCAAATACATTTTAGTAAATTATTTTATTTGTTTTATGTAACATAAGTAATTGTTATATATACATTTCACAAAACTATTTCTTTTAGTATTAAATATTCAGTTTAAATTTTTTTAATATTTTACAAAAATTGCTTCAATATTTAAAAAAAATTTCAAAATTAAATTTTGGGATGGTCTTAAACTTTCTTTTTTTTAAAACATTAGGCTGTCAGCAATTTACTTACACATAAAGCCATTTTACATACACCTAAAGCGTACATGAATATCCAAGCGACTTTTTATCATTTTTTAAAAGAACTAATTAATTTTATGAAAAAACACATTTACTTTTAAATGACAATTATGTGAAAAACAATTGTCAGATATAAAAGCTTTACTAATAAAAACAACTCAAATAAAATTAAAAACTACAAAAACTTAATTTCTATTAAACTAATTATCTTGTATAAATATTAAGTAACAGAAAAAAAAATTATTTATAGTTAACGACAAATTTTTATTTGCAAACAAAGCTATTAAACAAAGCGTTAAAAAAAATCCATAAAAGAAATATATATAATAAAAACTTTTATTTATCATCTTGCGAGCACAAGAATATTTATACAACTTTTGAATGTAATAAAAAAAATTTATTTAAATTTCTATTTAATAATAAAAAATAATTTTGTAATAAAAAAAAAGTTAAATTTTTTTATAGTTATCTTGGATTTATATTATGATATATATTTTTTTTATTTTGTTTTTATTTTATTGCAATGAGTGATTTTTTCACTTGAAAAATGCTAATACTTTAAGCTTGAAGCAAAGATCATTCAATTCTGATAACAAAATATATGGTTTAATCTAAAACTAATTTATTAAAAATATATAATTTTATTCTGATTAAACAAATATATTCAAGTTTATTAAAATTAATGCTTGCATTTAACTTAACTGTTAAATTTATTAAAAAATATTACCAAATATTGTTCAATATTTAAATTTTATTTATTCTTAAAAATTAGCTCATTTTATCGCAATTGTTTTTTCGGCTATTCATTCTAAACATTTTTCTTTTTACTTAAAATTGAATTCCTTGTAAACGTGTTTGCTGCATCAAAAATTTCACAAAATGTTTTTTTTACAATAAATGATATATACAGCAATATAATTTGAATCAGGGCTTAATTTAACGGTCAGACATTGGACATTGTCCGGCTAAAATCTCAGATTGTCCGATCAATTTACAAAGTCATTGGACATTTTGTCCGGCAAGATTTTTAATTCTTTAAAATAAAATTTAATTCTTTGATTTGAAATTGACAAATTTAAACTTAATGTAAACTATTAGACAATCTTATAAAATATGTTGATAATGGAGGCATTCATTCCCAAAAAAAGCGCTGTTATTAATTGTAGTTTTAATGACTGTTCTTTAACAGTTTTATTGTTATATTATTAAATTTAAAATTATTGCTTATTTAAAACAACTGCAAAAGTCAAAGTATGTTTGATTGATTACTGCAAACGCCGTGGACACCGAAAAGCAAAGAAAAGCTAGCAGTTTGAAAAATTTGATAAAAGATTTGACAAATGTGTTTTTTTAGAGACTGATATCTCATCAATGGAATATTTTTAATAAAATTTTAATAAAATATACATTTAAATATTCACGTTATAATCATCCAGATCATTCTATTTTAGCGGTTTCTCTGTGGCATCCTGGTCCTACTCGAGTTTTCCGATTCTTTTATTCGTTTTTTAAACTATATCTTTATTTCTATTTTTTTTCTTATTATTTATTATATATATATATATATATATATATATATATATATATATATATATATATATATATATATATATATATACATATATATATATATATATAAATAAATATATATATATATATATATATATATATATATATATATATATATATATATATATATATATATACATATATATATATATAAATATATATATATATATATATATATATATATATATATATATATATATATATATATATATATATATATATATATATATGTATATATATATGCCTTTTTTAAAAGTAGATAAATAATAACCTGTAGAACTCATAAAATTTTCTTCGTTGAATTGATCGAATTTTAATGACATGCAGCGCGTGGAATTTTTAAATTAAATAATAGCCCGTAAATATTATATTGCATTAGATTTTTGCTGTGTTCCTTTTAACTGCCTTTAAATAAGTAAAAGCGAAGTTTAAATTTTTTATATCAAGTTTAAAAATAATATGTTTATCTTAATATTTAATATATTAAAGACATTATTATACTATATTACTATAACAAACTTGTTTTCTTGCCATTTTTATTATTAGTAAAAATAGTTACATGAACGCCATATAAATACCTTTTTGGTGCTAAAAGTAGAGCTTATGCGCAAAATTGACACTTAGCATATTATATTTTTTTAAGTAAAAAGTTTACATAACTTTTATAAATCAGTAATGCAATTCAATGTAAACTAACAAGGTTTTCGAGAGAAAAAAACTCAATAAAACTTCAAGTCTATCTAAAAAAATGCGCAGTATTGAATTTAAACTATTTCATTTAAAATACAAAGATCTAAGATGGTAAAAATTCTGAATAGTAAAAAAAAAACTTCAACTTCACTAGCCTAAAATAAAATAAACTGGGAAAACATAACATATTTTGATTGGAAAAATAAAACTCAGATACGCCAGAAGCTAGTCTAAAGAAACCCATCTGCAGTACTTTTTCATTCTCAGCATTTAAAGAACTATCTTTTTCCTGTGTTCCTTTTAACAAAACAAATATGAATATATGTAAATATCGGTGAAAATTATTTGTTTAAATTTTATTTCAAAAATTTGATCGGACAATGTCCGACCAAAATAACTTTTGGTCGGACATTTTGTCTGGGACCTTATATAAAATTAAATTAAGCCCTGTGAATAAATGCTTTTGGAAAAATAATCTTTGCCTCCCCCCCTAATTGGTGCCACCCCAACCCTTCCCCCCTCACCTTAAAGGGTGGTGGGGTCCAGACCACTGATCACTTATAATAAAAAAAATTTAAAGAAACTATGCTTTCAATTTAAAATCAATTTATATATTTAGATATTAAGTATCTAAATCTAAATTAATTTAGAGACCTTCATTTGAACCATAATGAAGGCCTCTAAAAAGTTACTGTTCCTTTATTTGTGCCCCTATCTACATATAAAGACCAGATAAAGGAGAGGGCAATCAACCATATCTTTCTTCTTATTAAGAAATGAAAGAAATTTAATTAGTTGCACTCTTTTAATAGGCCAGTAGACAGATTAGAGGGGCACTAGTTTCTTGTAACACATTCAACCGTTGATAATTGAAAAATAGAGTCATTTAAAAATACTGGCATTTTTGGTATGAACTTGACAAGTTTTTAATGTTTGCGTTTTTTTTATAATGTTTGCTATTTTTGGAAATATATAAATATTTTGAAAATATTAAGTTTTTTTAAACATAGAAAATATTTAAATACGGCATACCATTGAAAACTTCATTGAATTCACCAGGGGGTGCATTTTTAATAAAACTTGATGCTATGCGTACCTAAATAAAAGTTGATTCATTAACATATTAAAACAGCTAATTAAAAGTTTAAAATTTTAAATATTAATACTAATAACAATGCTAATAGAAATAGTTATGTAAATAACAACTTAATTTAATTGAATTAAAAAAAAACTAAATGCTGTAGGTTTGTTTTGTTAGCAAGAAGTTTCAAGCATGATCCTTACCACATTTCTGGTGGTATTATGCTTTACATATTTTTACACGCAGCTGCTTTTTTTGTCAAAATTTGTAACTTCAGAAAAAATTTTAAATAAAAGATAAACTTAAAAAAATTAAATATTTTTTAAATAAAAATCAAAAACTTTCATTTTGGGTTATTCTCTACTTACTATGGCCTTTGATTAGACTCAACTTTGAAAATATACAGCAAAGATTTACACATCATACCAAATGGTCATAAAACAATCAGAAAATATATATATTGGCATTTCTCTTAGCTTCTTTTACATAAAAAAAAATATTTTGGTTGCTCTTAATTTTACACAAATCTTTTACTAAAAAATTTTTTTTTCTATTTAGGCATCTTCATATGACAATTACACATTTTCACACTTATATTTGTTATGATATCTTACTATAATACTCATGTTTATCTGACAGAATGACTTTGTGAGCTACCAACATGTAATTAGTGTGTAAACTGTGATCAGATCAATATATGATCAGTGCCTGTCACATGTGGTAGACATTAAACTTTTTTTTATGAAATAAATTTTTTGAAAAAATTCCTCTTTTACTTTAGTGGCAACCTCAGCATTATAAAATTTAATACTGCAAAAAAATCCCTGATAGTTACATACTTTTATGGTGTCTTCTGCATTTGTAAATAATTTATTCTTGTATAAAGTTCACACATGCACACACACGCACACACCTTACACAAATACACACACATAATTTTATTTACATTAAATAATATTTAATTTTGCTTATAATATTGTTTAATAAAGATTTATTATCCATACATTATTTAAAAAATGGTTGCAATTAAGGTTTTTAAAATTAAATTGCATCATCAGCAAGTTTTTTACTGATTCTGGCAATAGTCTATTTCTCTATTCAGTCCGAATACTCTTCATCATGTTTCTGCATTTGCATTGTGCTCTGAATTTGTAAAAAAAAATGTACATACCTTATAGGAAGTGAAAATATTAATTTCAAAAAAATCGAATCTCAAACAAATCAAATCGCAATTGACAGTTAAACTAAAATAGTTTTCTGTTTTCACAGAAATTAGGGATACTTATTACTTTTGAATTTCTTTTCAGTATCATATCATCAGAAAATATCTGAAAAAAGAGAATATTTATATAATTTTTAAGATTACATAAGTTTACTTGCTCAAAATGAGTACATGTACTCTTTAAAGAGTACGCTTAGTAACCCTATATCATAATGATTACTATAATGATGTTTCATACGCCTAAGCCTGTAATGAAGTGAAAAATAAGAAATAACAAAAAAATAATTTTTTTCTATGTAATAAAAGTTCTTTGTATCTAGTTATCAAGGTATCTTGAAAAAACCTCAATTGGTAAATGCCCTTGAGCACAACAAAAAACATTTGATTCTTCTATTCAAATCAAGTATTTATTTACATTTTTTTTAAGAAATGGTACTTAGGAATTTTGTTTAGAAATTATGTATATGTTTTTTACCTTTGCATACCGTTTGTTTTGATTGTTGGGGTTAATTTTTGATGTTTTTTATTTTATTTTGGTGCCATTTCACGTCAAATTTTCCATACTTAAGTATGAGGCGTTTTGTCAAAAAATTATCAGTTTTTTTAGCAAAAAAAAAAATGCAATAACTTTGGATCCAATTATTTTCTAAAATTGAAAGACCCCTCGTCTTTCAATTTTAGAAAACAATTGGATCCAAAGTTTATTTAAATTAAGTCTTTTTAATGTCTATACAACTATGTTAATTATATATAAATATATTGACAAAAAAATTCCTCTGTAATGGCTACCCCTGCAGATTAACTATAACTATACAGATAACTATAATGTACCAATGATGTTTTATACAAGACTAAGTCTGCAATGATATTGTAAATACTTAGAATTTATTGTAAAAATATCAATTTTGTAAATAAAAAGACATAATGTACATATTTTTCAAGTCGAGATCTGTTCTACATCAAATCAGATTGATTCTAAAACAAAATTACTTGTTTAGTTTAAAATATGGAAATTTTTTCATCATAAAAATCTGTTTCACAAACATATTTGCATAAAATCAAATTGTTAAGTTATAATTACAATCGTTATATTTTGTCTACAACGTTTCTAGACAAAATACATTTTTTTTAAGTATGTATACTTTAAAATCTAATCTCAAAATATAGGTTTTTTTAATCTGTGTGTAAAATAATTTTCCTTAAAAATTTAATTAGTATAACTACAGCTTTATTATAATTTTTTTATCATTTTATTTTTATTTTACTTTTAATTAACTGTAAATATTTTACATTTTTTAATTGTATACAACTGCTTTCAATGTATAAAATTATTTATTTTAAAAATAATAAAATTAATGTCACCATTATCTATCTGATGTATACACTCTTAATTTTAAATATACCTTATCAGCATCAGTTATAGGTTCATTAGTATCTGCCATAATATTATGTGTTATTAGTGTACAACAAATTTATAAGTTAACGCTTTATTTATAATATTAGACCAACCTATAAAATGGTAGCAGATACGGAAAAGTCCGTTTCCAACCGGGCGATATATTTTTTCCATGCTTTATTATTTGTGTCATCAAATAAGTATTTTAATTCTTCGTTTTAAAAATAAACAACAGAGATAAAATCTCCAATTTTTTTCTACTTAGCTCCATTCATTGTTTTTTAGTTTTTACTAGTTTTACTAAAAGATTTAATACTTACTCAATTTAAGTTATTATTAAATTTAATTTCTTAAACAACAACAACAACAACAACAGCAACAGCAACAACAACAACAACAACAACAACAACAACAACGACAACAACAACAACAACAACAACAACAACAACAACAACAACAACAACAACAACAACAACAGCAGCATCAACAACAACAACAACAACAACAACAAAAACGATAATATTATTAATAAGAGTAATATAAATAATAACAAAAATAATATAATTAACTTTGATAATAATGTTTATTTTTAAACTTTTTAGAGGATACATTGAAATCTACTAAAGTTTTAAATTTTAACAGATTATGCATGAAAAATATTACTAAGATCGGGCGGGATATTCTAAGAGCCTAAACCTAAGTTTAAAAAAAAATTGCAATGAATTTTTCAACTTTACTCTCCCAAAGATCAATTAGGTGCTGACAAATTTTTGTTTTTCAAAAAACTTTTTTTATGGCTCAGGATTTATATAATAAATAAAAGCTATATGGTATGGTTATTTTGGTAGTTTTTTTTCCTATTTACCTTTTTTAAATTATATTAACATAATTATTTAAAGTTTGAGTCCTATATAAAGTTTGAACCCCCCTCAATTTGATGGGATTACAAATCTTATTTGGTCATAATTTTTGAAATATTTTACTATGAAACTTATAATTTATAAGTTTAGTTGAGAAAAGTACAAAAAATATTTTATCAACTTGTGGGGTAGGGGGGGGGGGGAGCGAAAATCACGGTTTTTTGTTTGTTTCCAAATTAGTTATTACAGGTGCTCCAAGAAGTCTTTACATAATTAATTACTGTAGAAGAGCATTTAAACGGAAAGTTCACGCTTTTTTCCTCACTTTTATTGCTTATTTTAAAAGAGCCGGCATCGAGCCTCGTACCTAAGGCTGTTGACGGGTACCCGCCCGTTAGTTATTGTCCGGGCAGCATTTTTAACTGACAGGTACCCGTAGTTTGATAAGTTTCAAATTCAATTTATTCATTTTTTATGTTTAAAATGATTTTAAAACAGTTTAACAATATTAACTTGATATGTAATGAAGATCTTGAAGATCTTATTGTTCAAGTTTTTAATAATTACGATTTTTTTATCACAATCAGAATTTCTGAAAATATATAACGCAGGGCCGGCGCTAGGTTGTTTGACGCTCTAGGCAAAAAAATTCAGGAGCAGAATGTATTTCAGACACCCCCTTTTAGTAAGTCTGTAAAAAACGCTTATACAAAACGAGTATTGTTGAAAACCATACCCTAGCCTAACCCCAAGCCTAAAACTTAGGGTTAGGGCCCGGGTTTGGTTTAGATTTGGGTTTGGGTTTGGTTTAGGTATGATTTTCAATAAAATAAACTTTATTTTTGGGAGCAGGGTTAGAGTATAATTTTGAATAAATATTATGCGTAAAACGTGACTCGTTTTTTACGGACTAAGGGGTGCCTGAAATACACGCCCGCCGCCGAATCAATACCTGTATAATGTGTTTCTGCACAAAAATATTTCAAAAAAGCTCCTCTTTGACTTTGACTTTATTTTTCTTTACTGATAGTCTCTTTTTCTCAGACACGGTTAAAAATGTAAAAAATATGTAATATTTACTTATTACTTGCTATCGTAAAATAGTAGAATTGGAGTAATACACTATCTTTTAAATCAATGAGAATATTGTCAGTTAAATACTTATTATAAATACAATATAGTAGTCAACCACTGAACAGTTAACTCTTTCGCTACCGCCGTTTTTAACAAAAATCTTTACTTCGTGACCGTTCATTTTTTTGAATAAAATTTGGATGACATAACATTGACAACTAATTAAAATTAGAATAGTATCTTTTTTATAAATAGAGCTAAATAAATGAATGTTTTAATTTTTTTATAGTTTTTAACACATATCATTGAACGAAAAGAAATGCAAAGTACTTAAACCATTGATTTTACAAATAGCAACCAAAACATTAAGTCCAAAACAAAACTCATTTAATAAATAAAAAGAACGTTTTTCAAAAGAGTTTTGTAATTAAATAGCTAAATACTCATACGCTTCCACAGGTTAAATTTTACAGTGTTAACTGTGCTTTATCTTACTAATTACGAAATTTTTTTTATCAGGGATTACTCAAGATTTTTTAACTTTGTCAAGTAACAACTAATTTTAATTACACATAATGACTCATATTTATACTTGATTATGTATCGAAAAAATTAAACTTTTAGAAAAAACAAATTATATATTTCTAGAATGAAAATTTATGCATAAAACAGGATAAATTGTGAAGCATACTCGAAAGCCGCTAGCAGCGGCTTGCGGTCATATTAAAAAAAAATCAAAAGCAGCTATCAGCGGGTTGCGGTAGGAAAAGAGTGAAATTGATATTTATTCAAAGGATCAGATACAAACAGAACACGTATCTAGTACTCCGTTAACCAAACGCAAGCAAATGAATGTGATGTGACTGATTGAAAATGAGGGAGATCGAGGGAAAATGAGGAATAGCGAATAGATAATATACAATTTTGTTTATTGTGTTTATAATTTAAAAAGAAAATATTTGCTTTATTTGGAAAAAGTAACTCAAGTTGTTTATTAATTCTCATTTTATTAATATATACACAGACGAGATACGAGAGAGCAGGAGCCACTTTTTAATAACCTAACTACACTACAAGTTGCCTTTGAATATAGCCTGCGAGTGCTACGCTAATTTGCCTTGTAGTTTATGCTAAATTATTGGATATGGAAAATTTCTCATCGTTATATTTAATATACTATAAAATTATAATTTTACTTGAGTTAGATTTTTACATTTTACAGGCAGTTGCCTAGTTTGCAAAGTCCCTAGCGTCGGCCCAATATTCACGATCGTAGATATTACATTTTTGAAAAGGCCGATTTTTACTGAAAAAATGGCTGCGCAAAATAATATATTTTTAAAAAGCAATTCAAATCTAATTCAAATTTTAAGATAAAATAGATATCAAAAATTCAGAAGACATTTGTGTAATATTTGTAGCAGAATTGTCACAGAAATTATTCAAATCAATACTCATTTTTATATATGTATATTATATTTATCTAATATATATCTATATTCATGTATATTTTAACGCTTTGAAAAAAATTTCAAGAAGTAGTTCAAAGAAACTAAATAATAGGTAAATTTTATTAAACTATATAAAACTGATATATTAGCAATTTTGATTTCACTTTTTTTTTCGCCTCTTTTTAAATGTTTTTAGGTTATTATTAGAAACCAAATCCGTCGGTCGTTTTTGTTTGTTATTAAAAAATACATTAACAAGAATTTTTGTTGAAAACGTGATTCCCCAACTTTCATGATTTTCACAAACTAATTTGGTGCCTATTTATGTAATAGATTTGTTGATGATTTAATGACTATAATTGATAGAGATCAAGTTTCATTCTCAATTAAATCTAAAATTGCAAATACACTACAAACAAATTCTGCGAGCTGTTTGGATGGAACAAATAGTCCATCGCATGATAAGAGAGATAAATAAGAATTATTTTCAAGATCAATGTTTTCAAACATGCTTTACAGTTTCACATTAAGACCTTTTTGACAATTTTTTTGCAACATAGCCTGCTATAGTTATTGTCACTTCATGATTATTATAATCAAGGGAACTTTCCATAATTTCTTTACTTCCATTTTCAAACAGTTCATTAAGTGTTGTCAAGGAAGGATGAATATCTAGCAATAGATTTTTTTCCCAGAAGTTTGTATGCTCCTTAATTAAAGAGCGGCATTACAAAATTCTTTCTGAATTTAAAACTTCTCTTAAAATTACAAGAATCCTTCCCACACTCATTTGCCTGCATTGTGAGAAACCTCTCTCAATCGGATCACTTTGTAAACAAGCTGTCATCATATAACCATTTCCATCATTCAAGAGCTCCTCAACAAGCAGTGTTTGAGTACGTAAGGTATTTACTAATGCTGATGCATTTTAGTTGTAAGGGCGAATGCAGGTGAAGGAGACCACAAGTTCAATCAGCCAGAGCTTAATAAAATATTATTTTATTGTCTCCTAATACAACAGCATTGCCAATAAGATTTAGTGAAATTTTTTGTTTAGAATTAACAAATGTCCACCAAGTGTTAAAAATAGTTAAAAAATTTGAAACATCTTTTCGATTTAGATAAGAGGTTTTTCAAGTTGCAATTGTAGTTTCATGTGTAATTGCTAATTAAAGTGTCATACTTTCTTTATTATTTCCAGGATGTAATACCTCATATGTAATCTTTGAAGCTTTTCTAAATTTACTTTTCAGATCATTATCATTATGGTAAATCTTGAATAAATCACCCAACTAATATATCCTCATGGACAATCAATATTGATATATGCATTATGGTAATTAAAGTCTGGAAAATTTTTTTTTTTACCATTTATTAAATTATTTTAAGGTTTTTGATTTTTTTTTCAAAAGTTCACAAGAATACTTAGAAGGAACGGGTTTTAAAAACTAATTCATGGTGTATTAGTCACCTCTAATTATATATTTATCTTAGAAATGAAGTTCACATAAAACAGAATGTTTTGTTGGAGTCCAATCTGAACAATTAACAAATCGTATCCAAAGTTGATTTAAGTTTTGGTCTGTTAGAAAAATGCAGTTTGTTTGTATTTGTTGCTTAAGTACCCCGATGTACATTTTGGTGCAGCACATTTGTTGACCAAAGAAAAACGTAATGACTGACACAATTGATACATAATGATTGGTATTATCAATCATTCACGTGGAACTCACGGACATTAAAGCCGTAGCATTAAAGTTATGAATCAGAGAAAACAACGAATAGTTTATAATTATATAATTTATTTAATGAAGTGGTATTTATTGTAAACTAAATATTTGCCCCATGATTGGATTTTATTTTTACTATTTGTCATTGGTTATTATTGTTATTATTGTTATTTTTTTTACACTGCTGTTTCTATTATATATTATTTATGATAACTTTATATTATATTGGTATACATAATTATACATAGTATAATATACACATATAATATAATATTATATAATACACATTTTTATATTACCATTTATATTTAATATTGTTTTTATTATTATTTACTTTTAGGATTATTATAAGTTTTACATATTATGTATTATAAGTTTTAATATTTGCTGTTACTGTATTTATCAGATTACTGTTTGAGGGACATCATCCTTTACAGTCATTTTACAGTTATTTAATTATTATTATCATTGTTTATCATGACTTATCATCATAGCTTATAATTGTAATTATTATTTTCATTTAATGATAATTTTTTAATTAAAAATTATCATTAAATGATAATTGTAATTAACACATTTGTTAATTACAAATTGTTACTATTTTACACAAATTTTACAAAGTTACCATTCCGATAATCCAAAATTACCATTCGCCCGTGCTTATTATATATCCAATTTTGCCGACTCCAGTGTCCAATTTGCTGATTAATAAATTTCGTAGGGGGCCTAGACACCCCTACGCCCCCTCCTCTCGAGACGCCTCTGATTACTGGATTTGATTTTTGTTTCATAAAGATGATTCATGTTGAGTTACAAACATTGTCTCAAGATTGCAAACTGATTCTGATGCTTTTCAAGTGTGTTGTATAAATGTTGCAAATAAATATGAGTTGTATTCATGGTATTATTCATCGCAATAAAGGAATATTCGGCTAATCAAAACTACGAAAATGAAATTCTAAAGAACAAAAAAGTTGTTTAAGTTATTTATTCATTAAAAAAGTATCAAAAATAGCATCATTTACAAAAGTGATACTCAAGGTTTTTATTAAAATTTTTCAAAATTGTTTCTATTTGTCAAAAAAAGCTTTGATTAATTTAACACTTATTGCGTAAATTTTAAGTTTTTTAATTAATACTTTTTGATTGACAGTTTCGAATGCTTTTGATAGGTAATAAAAAATGTTATCATGATTATTCAAAATAATTAGAGAGTTTACTTATTCAAAATGAATAAGTAAATGAAAATAATTCAGTAAAACTGCATAATTTTCAGTTTCATAATTCAGTGAAACTGAATTATTTTCAATTATTTCTTGGTGCATCTTAAGCAAAAAATTTAAAAAAAGTACGACGTGAACCGCTAATGTTTTTTTCATTCGATTTATCTTTGGTTATGGAATGTGAAGTTTAATAGAAATTTTAAATGTTCTGCTGTATTTTTACTTAAAGTGGCCATGGCGCAATGGTTAGAGCGCTTGCTTTCTAAGCAGGAGATCCAAGTTCGAAACGAACTCTGGACATATTTTCGCGTCACGGTAAGGACGGAGGCGTGAACTTCCTAATTAAATGCACTTCCGCAATGCTCCGTGACAAGACCATTAGGTCTTCTTTGGGTACCTAAATAACAAAAAAAAAAAAAAAAAACGGATTTATTTTTGAAAAAAAAATGAATAATGGCTATATTTTGTATTTTTTTAGTAAATCGCATTATTTTCTACGTTTTGATTTTTATTTGCGTCATTTTTTTTCAGCGATCTAATTTTGTGTTCACACTATATTGATTGCGCTGGGTAAACTATGGTGCTATAGGTTATACCGTTTTTTGTGTTTGATTCGATGGGATTTAAAAAACAAAATAACTATATAATCTTTTCTTATAAGTTGCTACAAGCATGTTATTGTAGTGATATAACAAAATTGTCGAAAGTTTCCTTGATTGGAACATTGAAGTTTTCCTTACCTAATCAGTAATAAAATCAAAGGGTTGTAAAAATAGTTCGAGTGCAATTAAAAAAATACTTAGTAACAACCATAAACTTTAAAAATAATACTTTATTTAGTGATTTTAATAAATTAACTAAGAGAACGTCATAATAGTTGAAACTATATACAATTTTTTGTTTGTAGACTTTAAATTTGTTAGGGTAATACTAACCCAGTGGGCATTTCGACGTCGAACGAACGTCGAGCGACGTCGGATCGACGTTGGGTTTACGTTGGAAATGGAAATGTTATTTGACGTCGGATAAACTGACATCGCACGACGTCGGCATTCCGATGTAAATCCAACGTGTTTTTTGAAAACTAAAAAACGCTGCCTTTGGCAGGAATCGAACCTCGGCCTATTAGTTACTAAATCCTGTGCGCTTACCACTTCACCACAAGGACTTATTAATTGTGAGTTTATTTAGTAATTTATACTTGTAGCTATTTTGGAATTATTACTTTGATAAGAAATAATTTTGTTTAAATATTATATAAATATTAAAACGAATAGTTATATATTATAAAAAATGTATACTCGAAAATGTTAATAGTTAAAAAACTATGCTAGTGCATCATACAAAACCTCATGATGTTTTATCAACCTTTATTCAAACTTTTTTCCATTAATAAAAAAACACGCTTAGTTCACATAATTATTGAAGAGCGCAATTGCACACATATTGTTGGGTTTGGATTAAATTTTCATCAGCGATGTCTTACGACGTTGTTCCGACGTCGTTTTAAGGACGTTGGATTGACGTCGGAAGACGTCAAAAGACATCGGAGTACGTTAATATTATGACGTTGCCCGACGTCTTTTTATCGACGTTGGATCGATGTCAGTACTGCGACGTTTTTTGGACGTCTTTTATAAGATGTCGGAACAACGTCAAAAAACATCGAAACGACGTCAGGGAATGTTGAGATAAAGACATCGCCCGACGTCATTTTACTGACATCGGAACAACATCGGAATAGGTCTTTTGACATCGCTGATGAAAATCAAACGTAAATCCGACGTCGGATTGACGTCGGGTGCCCACTGGGAATCCTATAATAAGTTTTAAATTAACTGTTTAAATTTTCACTGTAAAGATGAAAATCATTTTTTTACAAATTTTGTTGATTTTATAGTTTTTTTTAAATAACCTGTTTTGATTAAGGAATCAAAGTGTTCCAATTTAGAGAACCAGTTGCCTTGATTGGAACAAAATGGTAACTTTGCAAAAATAAATTTTCCAATAACAGTGCAATCAATTAAGTCAAGTTGTGGTTAAAAGTATAGTAGTGATGTCTGTTTGTATTAATCAAACCATAAATGTTTTCATTGTTAAGCCATCTTTGGGTTATAAATATTTATTCTTTAAGTGTTCCAATTAATGCAACTTTCCCCCACTAATGGATTTAAACAATTTCTTTCCTCCTTCAAAACAACTTAGCTGAATGCGCACATTCACGAATTAGCAAAATGCGCACCTTCTAATGATAATAAATATGGGTGACATTAAATATACCGTAAATTTTATAAAACCATGTAAATTTTATTTATATATATTTTATTAATAACGACGAACCCCAATAAAACAATAACAAAACAAAAAAATTATTCAATAACAACAACACCAAAACAAAAAAATTATTTATTGGATAATATTTGTATTTAATGCTATCTGATTAAGAATATCATTTTATTAAACGTACAATGAAATGTGTTAACTATAATTAACAGTATTTCTAAATATTATATTATATTTATTTCAGAAAAATAAATATTTTTTTACTTAGCTTTTTTTGTTATTAAGGTGCTCCAAGAAGTCCTAACGGACTTATCACAGAACACCGCGGAAGTGCATTTAACCAGGAAGTTCACGCCTCCTTTTTTTACCGTGATGCGAAATATGTTCAAAGCTCGTTTCGAACCTGGATCTCCTGCTTATAATGCAAACGCTCTAACCACTGCACCACGGCCGCATACTTTTGTTATTCTGGCACTCCGATTTCTTTGTCCTGTTGTACTTATGGTATAAGTACAATAGGACAAAGAAATCGGAGTGCATAAGTTATGCAAGATATGAGTTTTTTCGATTTTTATCACTATAAGCAAAAAAGCAAAAGACTACGATGATACAGATGTTATGATATTTGACGTCAGCAGAATTGCTGCGCACTTGCCTAAGAAACAAAGAATCTGTGGTTCAAACCCCACATCTGCGAAAGTTTTGCGACATCGGTTTGAAAGGAGGCGTAAATTTCCAATTAAATGCTCATCCGCGGTGCTCTGTGATAAGACTCTGTGATAGGACTTCTTGGGGCACCTAAATAAAAAAAAAAAAAAAAAAAATTGCAAGAGCCTGTTCCGTTTTGAACACTTGTCTGGACTTTCTCAGAAAAATACATAAATTAGATCCGACTCCGTTTCTAGTTGCGTAGCCAAACTTTTTAACGTATTTATACAAACGAGATCGATCCATTTCAGAATTTTTGTTCCAACAAAAATTTTGTTTAACAATACGAAAAGGAAAGTAAATTATAAGGATCTGAATCAACTAAATTGCTCCAAGAATCCACATCCTTGGGTCCAAATTTTCACTTTTTCACATATCGTCTGCAAATGTTTTTAGAGTATCGCAGCTACAATCAGTTTAGAAGAGCGGAGCTACGTTCAATAATTCGACAGGATAGAATGGTGTAAAGCTAAATAATGTTAAATTGATTTTTCGTGCTTTGCCAGTGATATTTAGTTGTTAAATTGGGCCACAATATTTAAAAACAATTGTTGAATTTCATTACGTTTTTTTCCAAGTCTACAGGCTAGTTTTTAATTAAGAGTTTTTGGAGCCTAAGGCTATTTTAAAGCATAAACTACCAGAATGCCATAATACTCTTGAAAAAAGCGGCCCAAGGCTGTAGCCCCTTTCCTTGCAATTTTCGCCTCACTGCAATTGGCCAATAATTTAGAAACGATGGGGGGGGGGGGGTGTCAGCTGGAGCTAAAGAGACAGCTCTGTCAGCAATAGACAAATTACAGGAAGTGTGCTACACCGATAACAAATATACTAAACCCGCTACAAATACTTTAAACCCGATAAAAAATGCACTAAATATGTCTAGATTATAGGTGGAAAACCTAATTAATGTTAAATATTGTTGCTGTTGCAATACAAATAAACAATTCAAAATAAACCCCTTTAAACTTGTTGAAATTATTTTTCTACATAATTATACTTTAGATTTTACTTATATAATATAAGATAGTTATATATAAATATATATATATATATATATATATATATATATATATATATATATATATATATATATATATATATATAACTATCTTATATTATATAAGTAAAATCTAAAGTATAATTATGTAGAAAATATAATATATATATATATATATATTATATATATATATATATATATATATATATATATATATATATATATATATATAATATATAGTTATATATATATTATATATATATATATATATATATATATATATATATACATATATATATATATATTATATATATATATATATGTATATATATATATATTATATATATATATATATATATATATATATATATATATATATATATATATATATATATATATATATATATATATATATATATATATAATTATTATTTTTGCTATATGTTTTATTATCATTTAAAAGATTGCTGAAAATGACTTTTTAAACTAAATTACGATATGGAAAAGTATGATAAAGATACAAAAAAAGCAGTTGGTAGAGGTGCTTTTGGGTAAGTTAATTTTTTTTTCAAAATACTATAAATTTAAAATTAAATATGGCTTTATCTTAGAATGTGATCAATTGATTGATTTAATATTTTTAATTTTTTATTAATAAAATCCTTAAAAAAATATTTGAGATTCAGTCTAAACATTTTTTTGCTCAGTAAATACATAGAAGAAAAGTCACTTGTCTCCCATAGAACTATCAAGGAATTTATCTTGTTTAAACAAATTAAAGGTTTACCAAAAAGAAACAATGAAATGATAAAAACCAACATTGAAACGATAAAGGCTAATTGTAGCGCATTGTTAAAGTATAAAAGCTATCTTATAAAAAGTAGAAAATTATAAGCAAAGGGAAACAAAAATAATATAATAATACAGTTAAATTAAAAAAATTGAGATTTAAAGAGAAGAAAAAGGTTTTAAATAAAGTATGTAAAACATGAAATTAAAAATTTGCTATTTCTCCAAGGTAGCTGGCAAACAGATGAATATGTTACCAATGAATCTCCTCCTTAAAAATGGAAATAATTCTGTTGACCAGCCTCGATACCCTTCTTCATCTATAAGGCTGAATAAATATGTCACAAATGGAACTTTTTTGTACAAAAAGAAATAACTCTGTTGACCAGCCGTGATACCCTTCTTTACCTATTAGGCTGGTATAGATGTAAACCTGTGTTACCTTATTTCCTGTTTAGGAAACTGCACTAGGATGAGGAATGCTGGATTTTCTTAACTTTACTCTTAGATTTGCTTGTGCCTCCTTAATAGTAGCTATGCAATTCTTCTAATAAGAGCTCTAAAACTTAGTTTATTGGTTCTAAGATCAGCTGGTAGTAAGGTTTCCTTAATTATATGGAAGCTCTTGAAAAGGCTGATTCCATCAACAGCTGAAAAATAACAAAGTATTAACAGTGGGATTAGGTTTTTTTAAAGTAACTTAAGTACTTAAGTAATTGTTTAAACGATTCCATTAAGTAAATTTATGTTACTAAAGTAACCTCAAGTAATTTTTTGTCAAATTAATAAATAGGAAATTGGTATTTTATTAAAGTTTATATAAAAGTTGTATGATTTTTAATTTTATATACAACTACTCTATCCCTGTATTGTACAATATACAGCTACTCTATCCCTGTATCATACAATGTACAGCTACTCTAACACTGTATTGTACAATATTGCTTTAATAACATTACAATAGTAAAAGATAACTGCTATTTTATATTATCTTAAAATAATATCAGCTTTGCAGTGATTTCTTTTTAATTGTCTTTGGGTGAAACCTTTAAAAAAAAGGATGTTTGAAATTTGGAAACATGTATTAAATTTAACAAAGAATGAAGATATTGTTTAGTGTAATATTGTTCGTCAACTTTTAATGTTAAACAAACAACAGCAGCAAACTTTATCATTTAGAAGTTGTTGTTGCCATTGTTGCCAGTTTTTTCCAAGAAAGATTTTTTTGAACTTGCTTTGGTTCAAATGGCTGCTGTTGATCTTATTCCCATTTATAAATTGTCAAAAAGTGTTGATATTCAAAAAGGATGGGCCACTCAAGGTTTTAAAATTCCAAGTTCAAGACAGCTATAGCTTAAATGTTTTTAAAATACAGAGCAAAACTTAAAAAATAAGATTCATGCTTTGTCAAAAATGATTGAGAATAGTGATAGATTTTCGTTGACTCTAAATGAATGGACTTCCAATTGAAATCAAAGATATATTTGTCTAAACTTACACATGTCAGATAACTCAGTTTAATGCCTTGGAATGATGAGGATTGTGGGCTCAATAAAGGCTGAAGATGGTCTAATCTAAACAAATTGACTATGCCCAATCTCTTTACCCATCTGCCAATATTGTTGTTATTAGTGAATTTAATGCTCATTACACTGAATGACTTAGCTCTAAAATCACTGACCTTGCTGGGACTAAAGCCCATAACTTCTACATTGTACAAAAACACATTGTAAACCTACTTGGACCTGCTTTACCTGCCAATCTTGAGCCTCTCTCCCATTGTTGCAAAGTTGCATCTCTTTCTCTTTTCTACAAATACTATCATCATCACTGCTCAAAGGAACAATCATCTCTAGCTCTATTAACCAAAGCTTGTTTTCACATCTCTTACTCAGAATTTAACTTTGTAGCTCGTTTTTCAGACAACTCTAATCACTTACCTCCACTCCTTGATTTGTATCTTGTCTCTGACTCTAGCTTGTGTACAGTTTCTTCTTTTTATCCTTTAGGTGGTTTAGGCCATACAATGATTTCTATTAATCTTCCATCTTGTGCTTCTTCTTTGGACTCATATTATATCATTATATCATCATGTCTTTTACTTCTATATATTATATTTAAAGCAACTGAATTAAAATAGCACAATATTTAGCTTTATTGTATCTTTTTTCACCTTTTAGTAAACTTGGTACTAATATTCTTTTTGACGGTACATGTTGTAACTGATATAAAATTTTAAAAATCTGTAGAATAGACAGATAA